AATGGATGGATGGATGGCAGGCAGGCAGACAGGCAGGTAGACAGACAGACAGACGGACAGACAGACAGAGAGACAGACAGCCAGATGTAGGTGAAGGGATGGGTGGATGAATGAATGAATATATATATATATATATATATATAAACGTAACGTAATAGTTCAGCTATGACATTTCCTTGTACTCTAGGCTCGTGAAGGCCGGACCACGATCGTCGTTGCTCACCGGCTGTCGACGATCAGGAACGCAGACCGTATCATGGCGATGAAAGAAGGAGCTGTGGTCGAGCAGGGCACGCACGATGAACTCATGGATATGAAGAGTGTCTACTACGAACTAGTCACGCTCCAGACCGTAGAGGGAATGGAGGAGAACGCAGCGGATGCTGGTGAGGCTCATAGCTAGTGCTAATAACAGTGATATTCTCTATGAATCTCTACATGTTAGATATCGAAAACTATCATCCGCATTGGTCTCACTAATATTTACAGTGCCAGCACCCAGTTACCTGCGATTTCTTGCTAGTTTTTACGCCCTGAATCTGCTTAAATTTTTGGCTCAGTGATTTCAATGTTTTTCTTCAGAACTCGAGCGTAAGGGTCGAAGTTTGAGTATTTCGTCCTCTCTAACGTATTCGAAACAAAAATCACTAAAGGAAATAGAGCTAGATGACATAGAAGAGGTAACAGCAAGAGTGATTGTTTTGCATCAATAGCTTTTACAATTATGGTTTCTAACAAATGCTTCTAATATATTCTCTCTCACAGTCTGTATGCTCACTGAAGTGCATATGCATTTATATTATTTAACAGTTAGGTTTTTAACATTAAGTCTTTATTTTCTATTAAAATAGAAAAGTAATTAGCCAACATGCCCAAAATATCTCTTCAGTTTCTTCTAATTTGCATGTCAGGCAAAGACGCTCGTTCAGCCGACCTGGACGCAGATGATGAAAGCGAATTCCCCCGAGTGGCCATACATTATTTGTGGCTGCTGTTCTTCTGCTGTTGTTGGTGTTGCCATGCCATTGTTTGCTGTTTTTTACAGTGAAATATTCAAGGTAATATGTGTATTTCATTATACAATATTTTAGTAAAATATCATCCTATTTTGAAAAATTCGGTTGCATTTTAAAGATGAGATCTCATTAGCTCCGGAAAGCATAACCCAAAAATTAGCATAACCCAAAAACCAAAACCAAAAGCAAAACCAAAAGCGACTACAAAATTTGGTCATTAAGATACGTTTTATGGTGATGGGTCACATATATATATGCTTGTCCCACTGACATCTGAACATGGGCAGTTCTTGCATTTTTATGGCTGACAACCGAGTGCTTATAGCAATACTGATATATACTACCGCTACTGCTAAACCTTTACATTTTGTAGGTTTATGGGATTAAGGATGATGATGATGAGTTGCTGAAGGAGGCGCGTTTCTGGAGCCTCATGTTCTTGGTGCTGGGTGTGGCGCAGGGATCGTGCTACTTCTTCTCTGTGAGTAGGTTCATGTACGATTAAACTGAGATTCCTAACTTAATTATTACCTCCGCCAAGGAGGTTGTTTTCGCCCCTGTTTGTTTGTTGGTTGGTTTGTTTAATTTGTCTGTCAACAGGATATCTCAAAAAGTTACAAATGGATTTTGATGAAATTTTTTGTACGGGTTGGTATTGGGCCAAGAACCAATCGATTAGATTTTGGTGGGGATCCAGATCCAGATCTGGATCCAGGATTTTTGCCCTTTTTTGTGGGGAAGACTTCGGATGCATTCAAAATTCATTAAAAAAGAAATTCTGGATCTTTTTCCTTTCTTTCCCCAAATTTCTGAAAATTGCATCAAACTATATTGGGTGTACCAGCAAGATGGGAGGACTGTTACGCTGTGGCGGAGGTTTGCTATCTCTGATTGCTCTTGTTAAATAAGTTTAATAGATGTATCAGACGGTAAACACTGACCTGTTTAACGTAATGGTGCATGCCATTTGCAAACCATCACATTTAACTCTAATTATTAATGATCCCGAATGGCACGACTGTTTTGCACAGAGTGTGTTCTTTGGGACATCTGGGGAGCAGCTTACAATGCGGCTCAGGATGCAGTCGTTCACCAATGTCCTGCGTCAAGACATGGGATGGTTTGATGATCCAAAGCACTCCACAGGCAAGCTGACTACGCGGCTGGCCACTGATGCACCTATGATCAAAGGGGTGAGACTTGCACGGCACTACCTAACAGGGAAAAAATTAAAATGTATTTTTCTGGGGCTACTTTTCAAGCTCGCGTGCATGAAAATAGCACTCTAAAATTTGGTTTGCATTGAACTCTATGCAAATTTACGGGGGCTCTTTTTGGTATTTCCGGGGCTCTTTTTGGCATTTCGGGGGCTAAATCGCCCCGAGCCCCCGTGTATTATTTTCACTGCTACCTAACTTTATTGTTTTACTATGTATGCATTTCTCTTACATTCACCTTGACGTTAGCCAGTCTGACGCATTGGTCAGTATAAAGCGACTGAACTTGATGCGAACTTTTGTAAATGATTCGCACGCTCTTGTTTTTTACAGGCCACTGGAATCCGTCTGGCCACTGCTCTGCAGGCAGTTATAACTATGGTTGCTGGCGTTACTATAGCGTTTGCGTTCGGATGGAAGCTAGCACTAGTAATCATGGGGACAATACCTATCCTGGCAGTAGCTGGTGTGCTTCAGATGAAAGCTGTCATGGGTAACCAGAAAAGAGACTCTAAACTACTGGAGGAAGCAGGAAATGTAAGTGAATGTTGAAAAGGAGTGGCCTTTTCTGGAGGGACCATGTTTTTGAATGGAATTGCAAGATATTTGCTGCCAATAGATATATATGCTAAATACCGTTCATTTCGCGAACGTTTGTTTTACAGACTGCAACTGAAGCTGTAGAACACATCCGAACAGTACAATGTCTGACTAGAGAGAGAACATTCTACGACACGTACTGTGATATGTTAAATCTTCCTTTCAAGTGAGTTGGATTTCATGTTTCTTACACACTGCATTAACATGGCTTCCTAATGGTATATGCTTGTCTTGCACCAGTCATTGGGTCAGTGAGTAACTAATATGTAATTGCACAAGCATTGTAGTTCCCAAGTGCACTCACCCTACCAGAGCTGCTGCTGCATGTATGTCTAGAAGCGTTGTATTCAATCTGAATTGTATTTTCAGAGAAGCAAAAGTACAGGCGCAAGTTTATGCATTAGCTTTTGCCTTCAGTCAATCCGTCATATTCCTCATCTATGGATTTGCCTTTTGGTTTGGCTCATACCTAGTGGGCAAGGAGGAAATGTTGCCAGAGGAGGTGTATAGGTAAACCTTCACTTTGATAAGCATGCCTTGTTAAGTACTATCAGAAAGCTCACCACTCCATTAATTGTAGAACCATCTAAGTGTCATTTAAACTGTCGAACTATATTTTAGCAAGGCAGTGGTTGTTTGTGTTTGTTCCTTCATGCCATGTTTGGCAACAATTGCCAAATAGATGCACACAATCCGAGTGACACACCCTGCAATGTAATGTTTAGAGAGAAGCATATTAGCTAGGTTGTTCTGGCGTGTTTTTACCGTTCATTCCGCTTTCAGGGTGTTTTTTGCCATCGCATTTTGTGGCATATCCGTTGGCCAGGCATCCTCCTTTCTCCCTGACTACAGTAAGGCCAAGCTGGCTGCTGCTCATGTATTTGGTCTGATTGCACAAGAGCCTACTATCGACAGCTTCTCGCCAATGGGAATAAAACTGGTGAGCTTATAGCAAGCTGTTGTATAAAGACGTGACTGAACGGTGTAGCACCTACCTTTGCAGAGTAACTGTTTTGTAAACGGTTAATTACCTCCGCGCAACGGAGTTGCAGGTAGGTAATGAAATCGCTCTCGTGTGTGTGTTTGTGTGTGTGTTTGTGTGTGTATTCGTGTGCGTGTTCGTGTGTGTGTGTAGCCAGCAGCGAGCCAGCTGTTATACACATGTATACATGTTACACGCGTTGGCGCGATCGATTCAGCACCAGCTCGCCTTAGGGCGTCCAGTCAGCAGCAGCTCGCCTTAGGGCGTCCAGTCAGCAGCAGCCAGCAGCGAGCCAGCTGTTATACACATGTATACATGTTACACGCGTTGGCGCGATCGATTCAGCACCAGCTTGCCTCAGGGCGTCCAGTCAGCAGCAGCCAGCAGCGAGCCAGCTGTTATACACATGTATACATGTTACACGCTCGCAGAGGTATGCACTCTCTTTGAGTGCCCTCTGTCTAGTTACTATTGAGACTGAGAAACAGACGTGATTGTTGCTGGTATTCAATAAATCGAACGACAATTAATAGTGCATTCAGGTTTTTAATAGCCAATAGTGCTAGCAATCTATAAAGAAAGTAAAAGTGAGCTACATTTGTTCATCAAATTAGTGGTACTTGACTGTACGTATGACTCGTGTTTGTACTTGCTCAAGAAAGATAATGTACTTTCATAGGTGCTTTTGGAGAGATTGAGAAATGACATAGATCAAGACAGATCTAAAAGTTATAAAAGATATAAAAGTTTAGCTTTTCAATCGATATCTTAGCTAATAATGAGAAGGCGATGCATGGCATTGCATGCATACATGTATACTAAAACTATACTATACATAAATGCAGCAATATGTACCAGGGTGCGAAATTAACGCGAGTCCGGAGCCAAATACTCCCTGATTTACTGTCGGACTCCCTGATTTGACATATGCAGGAGTCCGTGTGACTCCCTGGAAATTCTGCTATACTAACTAGTTCGTTCCAGAACACGGTATCGCGGAATTACCGTATTTTTTCAGCAAATCTTCAATTTTGAGCTTCAGACTACGGACTCCCACATTTTGCTGCGGACTCCCTCTTTTTGAGGGCAGGGAGTTCGTTTCCCTTGTTCAAAAGTTGATTTCTACCCCTGTGTACTATTGCAATATTGCAATAAATATGCAAGCACGTGTGTCTAGTGAGCATTGTCCATCTTGTAGCCGGACGGGAAAGGCGCGGTGCATTTTGACAAGGTGCACTTTAGCTATCCGAGCCGCCCGGACGTGCAGGTTTTACGCGGGGTCACGCTGCACATAGAGGCGGGTGAGACTGTGGCCCTCGTCGGTTCGTCGGGATGCGGCAAGAGTACCATCACGCAGCTGCTGCTACGCTTCTACGACCCACAGTATGGCTGCGTCGTAAGTTCCACATTTACTCTGTCAATAAAGTCGTAAACATGGTAGATCGCTAACGAAACAATCAAACCACTCTACTCAGTCCATCACACCACATCTTCCAAAGATGCAGCTACAAGCTGCAGCTATGTGAGGTTAGCTAAAAATTACAATAATTCTATCACTTTATTTTATTACAGAAAGGCTACAGGTTTTATTCTACAGAACTTCCTAAACGAAAAATACCAGGAAAGGGTAAAAGTGTAAGTATTTCTAGCCTGAGGTGAAGATCGTGATGTATCAAATCTTTTTGTTTGTTTGATTTACGACAGTAATGTGCTTGTCAAGCAATGAGTACAGTTCTGTGCTTAATTTGTGCTTCAGCCGATCACATGGAAGAGTGTAGCAATAACAGCTGGAGTTGCTGGCTGCATCTATGTTGGGATGCATTTTCTCAAGAAGGAGAAGCAAGCAGGTAACATATATATATTTCAGGCTAATAAAAAAAGTTTAGTTCAAATCATGTTATTGGATGCGATAACAATTAATTATCAAAATAATAGATTTAATTATTGACATTATTTTAGGGTGGAAGCCTATTTTAGGTTGACCTCTATGTGTTATTTATAGACAATTTGACATAGTGATTTCAGTACATTAAACGCCCAATGTCTATTTAAACTGGGTGTTGTAGGGTCTAGCTATGACTGGGTGTTGTGATTACTCGTGGGACTACACATGAGTCCCGCTGCTTGTGCTTAATATAACGTTGTGTTTGTTTCTCACCACCAGCTGGTGCAGGAGGCCCTAGACCGCGCCCGCACGGGTAGGACCTGCATCATCATCGCTCATAGACTGTCGACAGTCCAGAATGCCGATAAGATCGCTGTGATAGAGGATGGTCACATCGCTGAGGTCGGCAGTCCACGCGAACTGCTCGCTGACGCAGGCAGCCTTTACTTCTCACTGACGAAGAACCAGCGCATAGAGAGACGCTGATCACCGTCATACGTCTGGCTTAGGTCTACCTACGTAGCGTATCCATCTGCAACGGGTTTGCTTCGCTACTGTTGCTCATACGAGCTTCATATGAGGAAATATAAGGAACTTCATATCCCTTCTAACCTCATATGAAGGGATGCATAGATGATAGGGATAGCATCTGCTCTGGTGACGTGATCTTACTATGATGTAATTGTGACACAAATCCTAGCTTGGTGCTGGTAGTCACATTTTATATTACTTGGTTACGGAATCGAATGTGTTGGTGTCTGTTGGGCACAACTGTTTTGTTAAGGAAAGCAACCATTATGAAGATGAAGTATTTTAGGTGTAGCATGTTTATGTTCTTGGCTAAGGTATATGCTACGTGAAGGCGGGCAAGTCTTATCTTGCCTTATTTCATTCACTTTACCTCATAAGCTTAAAATAATAGTCCCATCCATTAGTCTTAGTCTTACCAGACTTGGGCAGGTGGCTACAGCCTGCAATCGTTCTTTGCTTTTTATGCACACACTTGTTGCTTCACTGCAACTTATGAAAGCAATCAGGATAGTGGAGGATATATATTAGAATATCTCGATACAATCATTTCTTGTTAAAAACGCTAATGATGCCAATTTAAACGTTCAAATTTTAAAAATTTAGACCCCTCTAGTTTTTTGTAAGGATAGCAACGAAGTATACTATGTTTATGAATGTTGATTTATTACTTGAACTTGAATCATATACAACAAAGGCTTCCACGTTAGTGTAAGAGTTGCTAAGAGCATACTTCTGTCTTCCCTGCATGCCACATATCACTTTCAAACGTAAACTATTGAGCTACTTAACAGTCTTAAGCCCAACGCACGCGTGAGTAATTTTACTCAAGTAAAATGATGCATGCGTCAAAATACTCACATGTGCGGCGGATTTTCGTTGAGTATTTTGACGCATGCATCATTTTTCTTGAGTAAAATTACTCACGTGTGCGCCGAGCTTTAGATAGCCTACTGATTGACCCACCTAAAGTGTTTCCCGTTCTCGCAATGGGAGTGAATAATGCCCCCGTAGGGTGCCTTAGCTCGTCCGTCAGGGACATATCAGCCCTGTGTCCAGCAATCTCTGGTGCGACCATTGGTTGTATGTTTCTTTGTGTCGTCTACATTAGTCCCTTGACAGTACCGTCTGCTGTGTATACAATGATATCATTTAAATGGTTTAATTTATGATGGTTCTTTAGTCTTTTTATCCTATTGATAAATGAGTATTTATTCTCTTTGTTACCAAATGTATTTATGATAAAATAATTTTCAAAACTCGTGTTCTTTTACATAATTAGTTTGAAATCTGAAGTCATATTGCAAACATTCCTGTTGAAAATTATGAGCAAATAACAAGATAATGCCAATATAAAGTTGAAACTTGCTGGCTTTTATATCCTATGAAATAGTTAAGGTAAAATCGGATGCTTTCAAATTAAGACAATCTTATTTGTATTGATTATTATGTGATTCAGTCAATGCAGTGTAAGAAACATGCATTTATAATGTCACACGGAATAAATTGGTCACCTAAATTAAAGATAATTTTGCATTGATGTTTATTGTGTGTATTATTGCAGTCTGATACCTCATGATATAAATTGCCATGCATGAAACTCCCTAGAATTGACAGAAGCTGCTGCAGTATGTCCAGCCTGGTCGAGCGACGTGCCAGCGCTGGGCCAACAAGTGGCTAACACTCTGCCAACTATGATCCACCGATGATCCAACGTTGGGTCGACAGTGGTTTAGTATGTCACTATTATTTTATCTCGCGCGCGGCTCTCTCTCTCTCTCTCTTCTCTTCTCTCTCTTCTCTGCTCTCGCTCTCGCTCTCTCTCTCGCTCTCTCTCTCTCTCTCTCTCTCTCTCCCTCTCTCTCACTCTCTGTCTCTGTCTCTATCTCTCATTATATTGTGACATCTCTCTCGCTCTCACCTTCCCCTCTTCTGTCGCTCTCACTCTCGCTCTTCTCATTTTCTTTCCCCTTTTCTCATTTCGGCTCTTAGATCGCGATCCACCGCTCAGTGCACTCACGCCATACGATCACGCACTACGCCCGCACGTCACGCATCACATACACACACAAACTCCACCACACACATGTACGCTGTGCCTCACGCCCCATTACGTTCAAGTCTCGCGTGGCGCACTACCCCAGTGACCTAGCCGCCTAGAACACACTATGGCACAGATGGATTTTGACCACGAAAAAGCCTCCCTATTGGAGGCTTTTGGCAAGTATATTTCTAATCTCTAAATTCTGTTATTCATTTAAAGATTGTTAAATTAGAATAGGCTCCCCGAGTTAGTGATCTTTGTGGGGATTTAGCTTTAATTTCGTCAGCATTAGCCATGCAGCTTCCATTGCTGACTCTGGGATCGATTCTAACTTTAACGCTATGGTAGCTGGCTCTCGGATAGTTGTTCAGGTAGTTCAAATTGTCGATGGCGTTGGCCTAGACAGGGGTTTCCTTTTATTCCTTCCGGTCTCCTCCTGTCTTTTATCTGTCTGTCCCGCTTCCCCTAGTGTTAGCGTTCATTGTTTGCTTCTTCTTTTTGTTTCTGATGTGTTATTTTTGTGTCCAGGGATTTGTCTCCAGGGGTGTTTCTAAACCCAGGTACCCAAATACTTGGCTTAGCATCGGCGGATCGGGGGGGGGGTCTGGGGGCCTCTCCAGAATTTTTTTAAAATTAGACCCCTCTTTTAGATGCGTTTTTTCTGCGCGGAGCAGGGTGGGGGGGGTGGCCGGACCTCCCTGGACCCCCCCCCTGTACACACTCCTGCCTAAGACGATAATGCATGAAGCTTTTGCAGGAGGTAGGGACTCATGGGATTGAAATTTTATATTATCAAATGCCTTTCTCGAAAGTCCTGCACCAGTCACTGCTGATGGCATACTGTTCTTGTGACATATCTTTCTTAACACAGCCTCATCAGAAGGTGGTGGGAAACCATTATATCATATTGTAAATATCATATCTATAGATATCAATACAATAGTATAATTATTATGCTGTTTATTATATCATATATATACTATTAATATATATTATATGTATATCAAGAGTAGATAATTAGGGATTCCCTATTATCTATTCTCCTGGTATATGTATATAGTTATAATATTATTATGTGTATGTATACACTGATGCATAAACAATAAACTGCTAACTACGTAGTAATAACTAAATTAAGAAGCAAAGTTACAAGTAAAGAATAAAACCTAATAAATTAAGCGATTAGAAATAACAAATGTAAAAATTAAACAATCAAAATGCGAAAAGTTACGTGAATAGAGGGCGCGCTGTATATAGAAATGTCTGCGCCCATTCTGGTGTTTTTTTTACACGGTCTAGCAAGCAAGCCATACCAGAGCTAGCTATCTGTTTACTGAAATACTGCGTCTACTTGGTAGTATATTTTAGAGCTGTAATGTTAACTAATGGCATTAGGCGCTGTGTTTCATTTTGTCGTTGGCAGTCTTTACGGACGTTACATTCAAGTAAATCTGTTATTCAAGAAACTGCAGCAAAGCAAAATGTTTCGTTGAACGTGACCAGGTCCAGAGTTTGTGATGCTAGTGAATCGTCATTCCATCGATATAGCCGGGTATAGTAAATATAGTATTTGTATTTTACGTATGAAATCCGTACATGTCGCTCCTGGTGACCGTAAAATGATGATTAACATGTGTTTGTCAACAATCGTTTATAAACGGGCAGTATCCCGATAACTTAATTTGTTTGCTTGGTCCCCCCATGGCCATGACAAAGGGCCTAATAATGGTTGGATAGTTACCAGGGTTAGGTGGTTGTTATGTCAGAATAGCTAAACGAAGTCCAGTCAAACCCGAGGTCAGGAGAGACATTTCAGACCTTATCTGCTTCACACTCACATTCATGTGATTGTGGCGACTTGCCGTACACGCGATGATTGCCGGAACGGGACGCTCTGCTGGCATTGTGCTCGTAAATATACAATATATGCACTGCTGTCATTCTATCCTTTCATCGTTTCCTCTTCTTTGCTCTCCTCTCCCTCTCTCTTTCACACACACACGCATACATCTAGCTCTCTTTTTCTCTCTCTCTTTCTCTCTCTCTCTCTCTCTCTCTCTTCTCTTCTCTTTCTCTCCCTCTCTCGCTCTCTCTCAAACACACACACACACACCTTTCTAGCTTCTCTCTTCTCTCTCTCTCTCTCTTCTCTCGTCTCTACTCTCTTCTCTTCTCTCTCTCCTCTTCTCCTCTCTCTCTTTCTCTCTCTTTCTCTGTGCTCTTCTCTGCTCTCGCACACCACACACACCACACACACCTCATAAGCTCTCTCCTCTCTCTCTCTCCTCTCTCTTCTCTCTCCTCTACTCTCTCTCTCTCTCATCACACACTCTAGTCTCTCTCTTCACCACACAACACCTCTAGCTTCTCTCTCTTCTCTCTCTCTCTCTTGTAATGTTCTTATTTGTTTGGGTTGATTTGGATTGATATTCAAACCATACATTGAACTCGAAGCATTTTATAGACACTTTCGTTTTCTGTTCTCCAATCTCCATCCCGCTGCCTTCCTTTCTTTCTATTATTTTCGTCGATTGAGTTCCGCTCACGCATGCGTCACATCTGCCGAATAGAGGTCTAGCATCGATACAAAACTTGCGTAACACTAGGGCTGTTACATACACATTCCTCTCCCAACTTGACAGAATGTCTATGCCATACAAAATAATGATATAAAACACTGGGGGATTATTTGTTTATTTAAAATTAAATGAGCGCAATTTTTTTTTTAACAAAAACGGTAATTTCCAGCAGTAAGCTTGATGATTTAGGCAATATCTCATACATTCGTCATTCTAATATTCCGTTCCGTACTACTTACAGGCCATGGTATCGAGTCCGCCTCACTTAAACCACTCCTATACTGGAGTGCCTGACGCTCACCCCTTCCCCCTCGTCTCGCTCGCAGCTCTGCTCTTTGCAGCCTTCTCAGCGTAGCGCTCTTACTGGAGCCGACTCGCTCGTCCGCACTACACGTGGCCCCCTCTCGGTCGGCGGCATCGTCTGGTCCGATCCCTCGTATTGCTTGTGTAAACCCACAGCTCTTCCCTCCTCTCCTTTATACTTGCCGCACTGACGTCGGGACGTCTTTTCCTGGACGTCGTGGAGGTGCCGTTCTAGCGTTTTAAATCGGCGTATCGATTTTTCTGGTTACCAGTCCCTCCTGCCCTCCATGACGCTCTGCCTGTCCTACCATCGATCCTCATTTCTCTTCGTCACAACGAGGGGTTTAGGCCCAAACGGCTTTTGTCGGTCGGACTTTTCCTATGCCCTTCTCTCAGGAGCAACCGGTTTTCACAATTTTATATCACCAGACTTCTGTCTGGACATATTGCCTTTTCGATCCGTATACACCTTCATCCTGCCGCTTTAAAGACTTCGGCTTTGTCCTTCTGAGTTGTGTTTGCGGACGTCCGTGCTGTTGCGGTGATTCTCTTCGTACGGCGATCCGTTGTAGGGTGTTTTGGATGGCGTCCCATCCTCCGAACATCAGCGTATCGATT